GGACAACACACAACTCCAGATATTCATTACAACTAAGACCCTCATGGCAAAGAATATTAAAAACAAGATTGAGCAACAGCGAACCACGCTTTGGTCAATTTACTCACAATCCTGCTCCGCGATAGAAACAATGCAAACACAACAAGAAGAAGAATTCAATCGGTTTGACGATTTTTGGAATGACATCAAGGAACCAATATGCTAAGAACAGGCCAACAGTAATTTGACAACTTGAAAAACGACTATTGGAATTAAATACAAAAAGCTATCGCTCGACAATATAACAACTTAACACGGCGACACCTCCCACTACATGTCGCCCCTTACACTAACCAAATTAATTTCACTCAAGGAACAAATTCGAAATCATCACAAACTTCTTCAACCTTTAACTAATCAAGGAGAAACTTCCCCATTCAGTATCCCTCCACTCAGCAATTGACAGAGCGACATGAAACCATTAGAAAACACAGCTGCACATGGAGCGTGTAATCAAAATTGACAACCAGCACAATATTTCAAATTAATACTACAAAAGCATTAACAAGACTATCATCCAACCAAAGTAATTACAGAAACTAAAACCTACAAAGAACTTCGACTACACAAATCTAATCCAATGGATTACTTAATTTTCATTGTCCTATAACCCTCACTTTCAGGAGGAAAATTACTCAAAACTACCACACAGGAACAAATCCACGTCAAGAACTGAACAATAAGAACAAACTCCACCCCTTCCCCGCACATCACCCCTATATAAAACAATCACCTCACTAGACATTCGTGCTTCAGTACACGCCATCTCTCTTCACGCTCTAGCTTTATGTCATCCTCTCTCTTCAACATTACAACCTATAAACAAAACTTAACAAGGAGACTCAACAATCTTCAACAACTACTTAACGAAGCAAATCAATATAGCCCCACCAGGACTTACCCATCCGGAGCAACCGAACTCAAGGTCTACGTGGCCACTAATAAGTTTAAGGTAACACAATTGAAGCGACAAATAGAAGAACAAACCAACAAAATATGGACACTTTACGAGTCATACATACAAGCAATTCAATCATCACCAGAAAACAAATCATACGAAGAGGCATTCAATAAGTACTGGGAAGAAAAAGATGGAGAAACAAAACTGTCGCTTGCCACAAATATTGCACAACAACTTGACAAAAGAGCAACCGAACTAGAATGCCAAGACATAGCTATCAAACTTACACAAAACAATTCAACAAACCAAAACGCTAACACTCAAGAGACGTTAATTCAACCATTAAACTCCTTAGCTCTTGAACAACGACTGCTTAACTGTGAACTGAAAATCCCAGAATTCAACGGCAATCCAGCCGAGTTTGGACCCTTCTGGGAACTATTCGAAGAATTAGTACACAAACAACCATACTCCAACATAGGCAAACTATCAATTCTCCTGAGCTGTTGCAAAGGAGATGCAGCACGATCACTACGAATGATTCCTCGAACAGGAGACGCATACGAAAGAGCAATACAACAACTCAAGAACCAGTACGAAGACCCTAAAAGAATTACCATACAAATGATCCGTCAGCTTAAATCAATGAAAGTATGTCATAATGACCCACGAACCCTACGAAACAACTTAAGCGATATACAAGCCGTAATAGCCACAATACAAAAACAAGGAGAAGTAGTGATTCAACTTACATGACAACAATGGTACTCGAAACATTCCCCAGAAATATTCAAGAAGAGATCGCGCGAAAAGAATTTGACAACGGTACAGAGTGAACTATGAACGACCTTATTGACAACCTGACAAACATTATCAAACGTAAGGAACACATCGAGAGTCGTAACGAACATCTTCGTGAACAACACACTCTCCTCTACACACGAACACATGAAACGCTGCCACTCCGTTGCGGTGATGTGGCCGCTCTCATAAATTCGATACGTGCAATAAATTTGACACTATTCAGCAGAAAATAGGCCACCTCAAAAGTATCGGCGCATGCTGGGAATGTTTCAACACACGACATAAAACAATATCCTGCAACAGACCAGACTGCCCTCATTGTGGCGGCCATCACAATCCTATTATATGCCTACGTAAATCGCAAACAACAAGAGCAACTCAACCGATTCAAACCTCCCGCAAACGCTTCAACCAGAGACCACTTACATTAAGTAACAGTAATCAGCGACGACCATCAAATTACTATAAACCTCCACGTTTTTCACGTTTCCGTTCCCTCACGCCAGACACCATTGCCCTACAACAAAATCGACGCCAGTGGCGAGGCTCGTCACTATCGCCAATTAGACTCAACCAAGAAGAACAACGCCGCCGAAGGAATTCTTCACCCTTCAACCAAACTAGCGAAAACCTTAACTCACCATTCAGGCAAAACCAACAAGTACACGACTTACCAATAAGACAACGTCAACACATTAGTCATCCCTTAAGGTTACCAAAACAAGTACCAGCGAACAGAGTCAAAATCGCTCCATTACCATATACTCCCAACACAACGCATATCAATTTCCAAAACAGCTGTTCATCAACTCTCCAACCATTGGCAAACAACAAATTAAGCCTAACTTTTCTAATTACAACAAAAGCAATATTAAAGCTCGATTAATGGTTGTTACCACTAAGAGCCAGTGGAAATAATAACAGCGAAGAACAAGTCTACGCTCTCTGGACTCAGCATCTGATCAATCCTTTATATCATTACCTTTAGCACAACGTCTACAACTCATACCCACTTCGAAACACCATCATTGTCAACACATTTGGTGGCCACGCAGAAAGGAAACATGTAACATGCGTCGAAACACTCTTAGTTAATTCTCAGGAACAATCGATAAAGTCAAATACTTACACACGACATTATAACACAAAGCCCTCAACCATAATAGACTTACAAACAGAGGATAAAATCTTCCTGGAAGAAAAATTTCCCAACAATCACGCCATATGGTTACAAGACTTCACCATAGAAGTTAATCCCGACATCCTTCTAGGAATATACTACTTCAACGATATATTACAAACAAACGAACCCATCATACGACTACCTTCAGGGTTATTTATGACTCCAACCTTTTTTGGTCCAGTGATTTCCGGAACGGTAACCACAAGCGATACAGAACCTCAACACTTCTACGACCACATTATCCGCACATATACCACGCAGTGTTCGTATGAACACTCTGATCTAGACTATTCAGACCTATGGAAACTTCCAGGCGTAGGCATAGATGAACTCCAGACAAATGAAGAGCTTAATAGACAAATAATTGCAAATTTCTACTCCACCGTTCAAAATAGAAACGGAAAAATCTACATACAATTTCCTTGGAAAACAAACAAACATCAACTAGCCGACAACTATAACTTAGCCCTAAGTCGACTGCACCAACTATACAAAATGAAAATCAAAAACCCCAAGTGTTGGGACGATTACTGCAATATTATAAAAGAACAGTTAGACAAAGGCTTCGTAGAAGAAGCCCCTTACGTGACAAATGTGATCAACCCCATTTACTACATACCACACCAAGCAGTAATGAAGGCATCAAGCGTGACAACTAAAACACGAATAGTCCTCGATGCCTCCTCCAAGATGAAAGGACAACTGAGCCTTAACGATGTAATACACCAAGGACCACTGATTCTACCAAACCTGTGCGGTATACTTTTACGAGCCCGACTGGGTCCGCTAATTATGATTGCTGACGTCGAAAAAGCATTCCATATGATATACCTCCAAGAATCCGAAAGAGACTCTGTGCGATTTCTCTGGCTTAAAAACGTCACGACCTTCAACTCAGGACAATGTACAACTTCTTCGATTTTGTCGTCTACCCTTCGGAATAAACGCTTCACCATTTCTTCTTGGAATATCCATTCAATATGGAATTGAACAGCAAAAACATCAAGATGACACCATTACCCAGCGACTTATTGAGAACCTATACGTGGACAACGTCCTTATGCTCGAGTATTCAACAGAATCTCTTCTTGCCACGTACCACGCGTGCAAAAATATATTCTCAAACATGCCAATGAATCTTCGCCAATTCATTACAAACGACGCAGATTGTAACAAATCAATAGATGACAAGGATAAATCCACTTCACAAACAACCAAAATATTAGGCATTCCTTGGAATCACTCGACTGATACTCTTTCCATTTTGTGCAAACTCAACTACGAACCAAACCCAACTAAACGGAAAGTCTTACAATCAGCACACTCTACCTTTGACCCGCTTGGTCTTCTAACACCTCTACTGCTGCCCGCCAAAATTTTCCTGCAAGATCAATTTTCCTGGAAACACAAGCGCAATTGGGATGAACCACTACCAGAAACAAACAATAACACATGGAAAACAATTTGCGAACAGGCCGATGGCTTTACTGCGCACCTTCCACGAACGATTGTAAACAACTACACTGGAATTCGATACAAACTCCACTCCTTCGTTGCGCATCAGCCCGCGCTTATGCCACCGTAGTCTACTTGCGGTCAACAAACAACAAAGGGTACATTACGCTCGATCCTAATGGCTCGACAACGCCTAGCACCAATCAACGCAAAACCATGACAATTCCACGATTAGAACTTCTCGCACTCTTAATCGGAGACCGACTCACGAACTTCCTACTAAAGGAACTCAAGATAAACATAGAAACCATTAGAATCTACAGCGATTAACAAGTGGCTCTGCACTGGGTACAGTCCCAAACAAAGAATGGACCATTCGTGGATAATCGATGCACAGAAATCAGACAAAAAACACAATCATGGTCACAAGAACATGCAATACTAAGCTACTTACATTACATTCCCTCCGATGATAATCCCGCAGATTGCGCAACAAAAGGGCTTACAAAGGAACAAATGCACCTGCACCGCTGGTGGTCAGGACCATCCTTCCTGCAAGATGACCAATCAAAATGGCCATCACTTCTCGAGTTCTCTTGGCACCCTAAAGACGACCAAATTCCAGACCAAGAAAACGCATTGCACACAAACCTATCCACGTCCACACCATCCATCACTTCTTCCGAACCATGTTCTCTCAATCTACTCACAAAATTCAGTTCCCTTGATTCCTTACGACACGTGACAGCTCTAGTTCTTGAATTTCTGAAGTGTTATATCTATGACAAACTCCCGGACGACACTAAAGATACACTCACTACAAGCGCACCAGAACTCGCAAAAATAACTTCAACCAGACCAATTTCACTTCCTCAAGCTCAAGATATCAAGATGGCCGAACAGCTCCTGCTTAAGCTCACACAACGCGGTCTATCGAAGGAACATCATCGCAAATGGAATCACCTAGCCCTATACAAGGATGAGAATGGCGTCATCAGATGCCGAGGTCGCATACAATCCGAGCACCTCACAAGAGATGCTCGAGACCCAATTCTCTTACTCCCAGATCAACCTCTGGCAGGACTAATCATACAAGACACCCACGGCCGTTGCGATCATCAAGGTGTTAATGGAACTTTAGCCAACTTACGCCTTATGTATTGGATACACAGTGGCAGACAGATTGTACGAAAGATCCTACGAAAATGCCTTTCATTCAAACGATAGAACGGAAGCCTTATTACTATCCCATATCTCCTCCTCTACCATCCGCACGTGTGCAACCAACACGACCCTTTTCCCACATAGGTATAGACCTTGCCGGTCCATACCAAATAATCGCCTCTGAACAGAGCACCAGCAAGAGGTGGATGTGTCTCTTCACTTGCATGACAACACGAGCCATACACCTAGATATAGTCAACGACTTAAGTGGGCTCCAAATTATCAATGTACTGAGACGATTCATCTCTCGTCGAAGAACACCACAACTCATCATATCAGACAACGCAACGAACTTCTTGCTAACGACATACTGGCTTCATTGATAGCGGAAATTATCCGCAAGACAAGACTTTGCAAGCTTTCCTAGCCAATGAGAAAATGCAATGGAAATTCATAACACCTCTCTCCCCTTGGAAAGGTGGATTCTACGAGCGTATGATTGGCATCATGAAATCAACCTTGAAACGATTTTTCATACATAAAATACTAAATGACTGCAGCTTTAATACGATCGTAACAGAATGCGAAGCAATGGTTAATTCACGACCACTCGCATATACGGGAAGCAAGTAGACGATTCCCTCATAATTCGTCCCATAGACTTCCTACTACCAAACGCCAACCTTATCCCTTTTACAAGCATCAATATAGAACTAGATGAACATGATTCACTATACTTACCTAGACTGACAACAAAAGACCAAGCCATACAATGCTTCCACAAACAGCTAGGGTATCTAAAACACCTATGGAACCTTTGGACGAAAACCTACCTCCTCGAATTGCGAAACCATCACCAACTTCGAATTAAACAAAAGAATTTTACAAGAAAACAACCACATATTGGAGAGGTCGTTCTCATTATGGACGAGGAGATCCCACGCATAAATTGGCCATTAGGCCTCGTAACAAGTCTAATTCAAGATCAAGACGGTAATGTACGATCAGTGAAATTGCGAACTTCTACATCAGAGCTAGAACGCTCAATCAACATGTTAATTCCGCTTGAACTAGACGAAGAAAAATTGCCACAATCTTCTCACAACAAAGTATCGAACACTAATAACGACACAGACAGCGACACGGGCGACGAGCATGCCAAAGCTAGGCTCCCTGATTCGCCAGAACTAGATACACCAAGCAGATCACGGTCGCGACCATTCCTTCCGCGAAAAGCAAAAACAAACAAAACCTACAGTAACCACACAGCCACAACGACAGCAAAATCACCGCACTCGTCTTTACTAATTCAGCGTTATGGAAACATTGGCTTACAATAGCTTTAACAATAACACTTTTTCAATGTGCACATTCACTAACCAATCAAAAAGCACATTTGAAATGCGTTACAGGGGAATTAATATACAAACACTACAGCAAGCGGAACGCATGCAAGTGTGCGGAAACGACTATTGTGTCGAAATACAACAACCAGACCAAAATATAAATGTTCAATTCCCACCAGAAATTACTCTTCATACATACCACGTCACTCTCAAATCTCTCATCGGAAACGAGACACAAGCAACGCACTGGGCTTGTACTCCTAGCCCATTTTGTGAGCAAATCACGTGCAACTTCTGCACGCAAATGATTTCCAATCCCGAATGCTGGCCTACAATCGCAATAGCCGTAACTGCAACGCTACTTTATATAATCGCACTAACAACTTACATCGGCATCATACTGTTACAAAAAACTTTCCGAACTTTCTGTTCTCGTTCGCGTACAAAAATGAGTTGCCTCTGGAAAATTTTCCAATGGCGTAGACCTGCCAAAAAACAAGAGAGAGAAGATGACATACCACTTATCACGATTGACAACAGCAGCACCAAATGGGAAACAACAACAATGTTACGATTAATCACGATTCTAGCTACCACGACTTCAAAAGTGTCTTGCTGCCAGCATACTATGCTAATACCATCAACTATATCACAGTGCGGCCCACAGGAAAAGAACTGCCACAACCGAACCACGCCCATCACACAACTTAACCAAATGCAACCTGAGGTTTGCATTCAGCTAACACACGGCAAGCGACAAGTACATATTATGCGTATAACCTTAAAAGCTTTGACCCTCAGATGTCGCAAAGAAACGCTCTACTACACGCGGAATACCGTCACAAAAGTTAAATATCAGAAACGATGTCCCGGCATGGGCACATGTAAAGACCTCAAATGCGCCAAAATCAACTACAATACCCATGTCGAAGAACTCTATGACGCCAACAACTATACCGGCATTACCTACTGCTCCGAGTCTTGCGGTTGGCTCGGATGCTCATGCAGCTATCCATCATCCGGATGTCTTTTTTATCGAATATACCACTTACCAGTTGATGGCACTATCTACGGAGTTTTCCAATGTCCGACATGGTTCGAAACAATCTCGCTCACCATACAAATAAATGGGGCCAAACAGAGACTCCAAACCTTCGAATTAACACCGTACACTAACAAGCGCGTAAGCCTTCGAAATTACAGCCTTCTCATTTAAACCAATATCAATCCTACACCAGCGATTTATTACTAACAACCAAACAACGGCATACATCCGCCCAGATACAGAATTTAGCTACGCATGTAGCTCTCCTTCACAAGAACAACAAACGATTAACAACACCCAGAGTTGCATCATCAAGGACACATGCAAATGTACTCCCGCCGAAAACTCGGTCAATTGTTATTGCACTAACAACAACATTTCACAAATGACGCAACTACCAAACACCTTGCCTCTACCACTACCAAATGGCCTAGTAACAACAGAAGGAGTTAACAACATACCCACCATAAGAACACACGCAATATCAGTTGAACTACTACTCCTACTAGACAACAACACAAAAAATATTGCACAAGAGATAGAAAATTTCCAGTGCCACATTCTTCCCCAACAACTACATGGTTGCTATAACTGCGCCAAAGGCTCGGTAGCCACAATCTTCTGTCAATCTGACACTGTTGAGTCGACAGCACAGGTTACCTGTGGAATGCAACAATTCACACTAACTTGTACAAGATCTGGAACATACAACTATGTGCTTTTATTTTTTAACAAAGCCCGAATACAAGAGACTTGTAAAGCTCAATGTAGCTCACACATAACAATTTTCGAAATCAAAGGTACACTCAATTACATAAATGGGATAAAACCCCTATGGAATTACATCCACCTATGGGACAATAACACAGACACAAACACCTCCTCATTTACAATTGATCTCTCTCTTCCTGATTTCTCTCATTTCTTGGAAACATGCAAACAATTCCTCCTCTTCTCTCTGACCGTCTTCCTAGCCCTCATTAGCGCTCTCATGCTCAGTCGTTCTCTCCTTTGCTCACAAAACCCACCAACAAAAACAAGAAAATCTTCTAGTCACCTCATTATCACAATCTTTCCCCCTCTACGCATAATCCTCTTTCTCCTCACTATCATCAAACACCTTTTCTCTCTCGCAGTATTCATGCTTCGACTTCCTCTACGACTCCTGGCATCATCACGACTCGTCAAGCACTAAGACCTCCATCGTCAGCAACGGACCACGTCAACCACCAACTACTCCCGCCACTACTTCAAGGACAACCACACGCAACTCTCCACGTCTTCACGTCTACTACCTTCTTCCAGTTTCCGAAGAGTCAGCATGTTGTGAGATCATTTCGTAGAATTGTATAGTTTTTCTTTTTTCTTACCTTAGACTTGTATAGTGTATTTTCTTAGTATTGTTTTTGTTTTTTGCTATGTGTATTACTGATTTTTCTTTGTTTTGTATGTGCCTCACTTTCCTCTTTCCATATTTCGTTGTCTACGGAACAAACACATACAATTGGTACACTCGGTGGCGGGGGAGATGCAAACGGCAAATTCCTGCTTTCCATACCTTTCGTCGTTGTGCGGGAGTGTCATGACTTCCCAGTCATGATAAAGACTGGTCCCCTAAATACCCTAAGGACTAAGCCCTGTTACAACAAACAAGTGCCGAAACATGCATATACATTTGAATTTACCGCGTACAAACTACAACCAATTCCAAATTGCCATGCACGACCGACCTACTAGCACAGGTATATATAACGCCTCTTCGGGAGGTATAAAGAGCGCGCTCCGGGCCGCAGAGGCGTCTTCCACTTCGGTGTCACCTTTAGTTTAGCCTCTCTTCAACTCTTCTCTCTTCCTTCTGGGCTCCGCCCTCTCGTCAAGCGATTACGGTCGCACACCATCTACCCTAACTTTTACAACTACGACACGAGATTCTATGCCAGTCGGACTCGCCACTCGTTAAGACGACAAAGACTTGACACTCGCGACACATAGCCTGAGGACAACAATACGAGATGCGATAAGTACAACGATAACAATTTCTATCCTCTCCTGTCTCTTCTCCATTGTGTGTTTGATCATAGTTGCTTTGTAATTAATAAATGATTTTTAATACACCTTGTTAAACTAACACTGAATCAAAACAGTGTGGGGCTGCTTTACTTTCCAACGCAGGTGGGCATGCAACGGCCGCAGTATTACTCGACCGGACGGGGGTTTCCAGTTATCGGGCCGAAGAATCCTCGATGGCTGCCTACGCTTCAGTTACGTTCCAACTTGTCACTTGCCTTGCCTGTAATCCCATCCTTCCAGCAACACGTAACGCGTTTTACCTAGCCGGTGCTGCCGGAGTTTTATCACTGGAACCATTACGAGGAACAGCTGCCACCTTTTCTCAGGTAACGCCGCGTTCTACGGCAGTGAAAGAGAACGGGAACCAGCGCATACAGGTCTGCAGAAGGCCATATATCCGCGCTCTATGGAACTATGTCGGTCGACACCCGTGTGTGACACCTGAAATGGCTTAGCAGCCTACTTATCAGACACACTACGTAAACGGGAATATGAGGGTGAGTGAGATGGGGTGTGCGCGACGACGGCGAAACGATCGCTACAGCCCACAGATCGGACTTCACGAAAGTGATGCGGTCGATGCACATTCTTTGTCGTGCCGG